TATTAATAACAGTAATTAATATTTTTTAATATATATGATGAAAAGTCACTTGAACGTATGGTACTTGATTTTGCTCGTGACAATTTACAATTAAGTTCAGAAGATCTTATTGTGGTATCAAATAAAATACGAGAAGGTGATTTATCAGTTGTTCTAATGGCTTATGAACAAGAACTAAAGGTACTATGATTATTGATATTTTATTATAATTATTGAAAATGCTTTTTAATCAAATAATTAATATTTATTGATTAATATTAACATTATAGAAACCTTTTAAATCTACAATAACAGGTAAATGAAGAAATTAAAAATTAAAAATCCCAAATAATATAATATTAATCTCCTTAAAAAAAATTTTTTAAAATTAAAGGAAACCTTATCAGAACATTGTTAATTCAAGTACAAAAAACAAAAGTAGATTTAGAATTAGCCATGGCAGCTTTAGATAAATTATTGAAATCAAATGAATTGAATTTTGCTTTTTTAGCAGTTGGTCCGAGTCTTTTTGTTGTTTATTTATTGTGTAGTTGGATGGAAAGAATTTGGTGGAATAAAAATAATTGGGTTGGTAAACTTCAGGGAACAAATAAGCTTTCTAAATCATCATTTGCTTTATTATCCATCATCATTATCATATTATAATTAGTATTATTATTATTCCACTTCTCCTTATTCGACATTAGCATGTCCAATTGTTGTTGTATTTTTTTCAAACTTGGAATTGTTCCTTCTTCTAGTTGCATACTGTAAATTGATTTTTTTAAGAATTCAGAATATTCATTGTAAATTTCAACAGGATTTAAGTTATTATAACTTTTATCATTGTTTGTAGTATTTATAGATGGGGTAACAGTAGTTTTAATTTTTGTAGTTTCTGGTTTCTCTGGTTGTCTTATTTGTTTATATGATGCTTCGAAATTACTAAAAGGTGAAATACACAAAGCATCAAGATCTGCTTGTAATTCACGTACAAGCTCTTGAATAAACGACATTATTTTATTAGGAATAGTTAATAATAGATCAAAATCAAATCAATCATCTTTTAGATCATCATTTCTAATTTCGAGTATTAATATTAATTTTCGAGGTGCACATGCCGCAATATGTCACAGGCAGATAAATATCACGCTGGAAAATAACAAAATGCGGCAAAATCGGGATTATTATTGTTGTTGTTTTATTCTTGCCTTCCATTTGATTAATGCTTAAATAGAAAGCGTTAAAAGAACTGTCTTTAAATATCTATTTCAAAAGATCAAGAACCACTTTGTTGGTATTGTTAAAAAATTGTTTCTTGCATTATTTGATTAAATTAAGAATCTTCCAGAGAAGTTTAAGCCAAGTTCACTTCAAGAATTTGCAAACTAGTGTTTATTACCATTAGTGCCCCAAGCCAATGGGATGACTCTTTAAAAAGATTAGCTCTCAAGTCATGAATTACACATTATGGTTTAAATCGTATTCCACTTTTACCAGATGGTATATGGAAGAATTTTAAAGAAGGTGTGATTTCATCCTCGGCTTCTTCTTCTATATTAAAAATGAGAGTGTATCTTCAACTTCTTGTTCTTCTTCTTTTATCAACCTCCGGCTGGGAAAGCAATTCAGAGGATAAATAAAATGGACTGGTACTGCTTGCTAAGCATACAGTCAATTGTTCAGCAGTTTATATAGAAAAGTAAAAATCATATCAATAGTGTAGAT